ATCGAAGATCGAAAATTTTATAAAATGATGGGAAATACTTACAAAAATCAAACATATATTTCACAAAAGTATTTATTATTTTTTTTGGAATATTTGACGAAAATGTGATGTTTAATGGGTGATGCGGTTTCTATCGCCGCTACTGTAATTCGAATCCCTAAAAAAAAATTCGATTTGGAACTATCCGAATAACGGGAATTTAATTTAATTAATTTAATTTAAGTGACTTCCTCAACACTTCTATAATCGAATTAGATATAATAATCATTTGCTTCGAATATTTGATATTTTCAAAATAATTCAAAGGATTTTCTACAACATTATTTTATAATTATTATAAATATTAGAATAATAAGCAAAAACGCTTTTAAAATAAAAATTTATATTTAATAATTCAACTAAAAAATTGTGATTCTTATTAAAATTAGATTGTTTATCTTTTTTGTATATGGATTTAAATATTTTATTATTGACTGACATATATAGTGATATATATCTTATATATCTTGATATATATCATAAGTAATATATCTTAATACAATTATTAACTAAAAACTTTATTAAGAGTTTGAAATAATTATGAGCTACTCTTGATGTTATAAAAAAATAAATTATTAAAGGAAGAAATCAGTGTATGTAAAGCCTTTAGGATATATGTATAACATTGTCTATTTTAAACCTACTCAGCACGTCGCAAACATAACTATTCGACATGACTTCGATCATTCGTATTTATCGAATATTTTTTTTTAAATTTTTCTCAAATCCACACTAATAAAACCATTTAATTGTATTTATTCGAGCAATATGTGTTTTAATTTAAAAAACTAAATATAAATTTATATTTTTATAACAAATTATTCTCTAATGACGCATTGCACAAATTTTGACATATGGAAAAATATTTAAAAAAATTTGCAATATTCAATACTTTTTAACAGCAACACTGCCATATGCACAACACTGACGCCAGCAGAAGCAGCGCCTACCCTTAATAGAATGAAAACAAAAAATTGGAACAGATTAAAAAGGGAACAGCAGTGAATGGTACATTTCATACAAAGTAGAATCGATTTAGTTCTTTACTGTTTTTAAATGCGGTTGGTGGTTAGTTGTGTAAACGGCGTTCGTGCAAAAAAAAAATTATAATTGAAGATAGGAATTTCTGTGTTTAAAAAGTATTTTTTGTTGTTGAAAAATTATTAAAATTTTATAAAAATCATTAAAGGATATGAAAATAACATTTCTACCTCATTTATTTTAATAATTTTGCTCATTATAATAAAAAAAACTACATCAGTTGGCGGCATAATAAATGCAATAGATTTTATACACACAAACGTACATTTAATGCTTATGTATATTAAGTTTAATTAACAAATCAAATTTTCAATTAAAAAAATAGCTCTAAAACATTTGTGACAACATAAGATTTTATATGCAGTAAAATAAAATTAAAATTCAGTGAATTGCTCTCACAAAAAAAAAACCGTAACACAAATTAATATTGTTTAAATTCGTTGCTAATTTTTTTTACTATTTATTTTGTTGGTTTATGCTTTGTGCAATTTTCCCCACCCAATTCCAAGTCGTTTCGTTCTTCATGTTTTTCCTCCCTGCTTTTTCCAAATACAAATATTTGTGTTTGTTTTTGTTTTTGTAATTGAAGGAGTTCGCTAATTTTCCTCACAAAAGCAAATTCAATAAATACCATAAATGCCGAGTGGTTAATGTTTGCATTTTTAATTGTGCAATTAATTAATTAAAAGTCATATTAAAGTATTTGATTTAAATTAATATTAATTTTAAATTATTTATTTCTTTTAATAATTTTGAATTGTAATAAAAATATTTTTTTTTTTACTGATCATATCTGGAAAGAGAAGCTAACGGTCTATTGAGTCACATAAATGTAAATAACTACAGTGAGTGCAAATTATCAACGTACACAAATATTTCTAATTGAATTTCAATTAACTTTTTTAAAAAATAAAATAAAATATAGGGAAAATCAAATTTATTTGTAAGGTTTATAACTGGTTTAAGTTTATAATATTTTATTGTTAAATATTAACAACACATTTAACTGCACTGTTAGAAATCGTATACCGGTAAATTATTTAAATTCATTAAGATCTGTGTACCTTTTAAATAGGTAGTATAATTAAAGTTCATAATTCATAAAAAAATAATTACAAATTTGGTATGTATTCATTGCAATTAGTAAAATTAATGTTTAAATAGTTTATTATCAAAGTAATGTTAAAATTAAATAATTGTGAGAAATATTATTTGTTTTAAATGTTAAATAGTATGTTTACAGTAGTATTAACTACTTATAACAAATTGCACAAATTTATTTGTTATTTTAATGCATATATTAATATATACGAAATATATTTTGCACTACAGACACAAACCAGTTAATGTAATCGGATTTATTCCATACACAAACCAATTACCCTGTTGCACATCATTTAGTTCGAATTATAGAAAATTCAAGTTATGGAAGTTTGACTGTAACTCATGAAATATTATGTTTAAACATTTTTATTTATTTCATGAAATGCATAACAAAACCTGTGGACACAATAGAACTTTAGGTGAAAATGTAAAATTCCTCAACTAAATAGTATGATATACCTAAGTAGTTTCGCATTTTAAATTTGGTCGATACATCTTTAGACCACTTCAATGGTCATGGAACAAAGATCTTCAAATAAATGGTTTATCTTGCAAATCACTAATTTTTCAATTGATTACGTTTATGTCATTTGATCCAGGTTTTTTTATTTACTTATAAAACTTACATTTGAGTGCAAGTATTGAACCAATATCTTTTTACTATACTCGTAATGCTGATTTTTAAACGGAAGCATTCTCACTTTACACTTTCCTATTCATATATGTGTATGTCTAAACCAAACAAAAGTTAGTTTTGTATAACCTAACGAGAAAATAATAAAAACCAAACTAAATCACTTCTGTCTATTATTGTAGGTGTTAGGCCTACAATAGTATTCAGATTAATAATATTCATTAAAGTTCTTCAAAGTTATCAATATAAAGTAGGGCCATGTTATGTCCAGTAATGAGGATATACAGAAACGCCTTAAAGTCGAAAAAGTGCAAACGTGCATCAAAGACAGAGCGCTAAAATTGTTTGATTCAGAATTACACTTTCCTGAATCACAAATGCTATATATGTAAATTCTGTAAATTCACCTAAATAATTTATAACCATAATTCAATGAAGCACTTGTTACAGTGGTTCACCCAAGTAGTCACAGATACGCGTTTCATCAAGTAAAGAAAACAAAAAAGAAGAAGCTAATGATCCATGTTTTATTATAATAAACGTTCATCGTTATTATTATACTTTTTTGTATAGAACTTACACAGTGTGAATCTGTATCCATACTTTACATCAAACAACTAATCGGATGCTTTAGATAATGAACATCTAAGGGAAGTATTAATACCCTTTACGGTATTTTATTTATTTATGCAATAAAAATTATTTGGGATAAAATAGTAATAGTATTGCAGAGTACTGTCACGATTGCTTTGCGTTCACTTCTCTCCCTTTACAGAAATTAATTAATTTTTTAGTTTATTAGAATAATCCTTCGACTGTATAAGAAATTTTATATATAAAATTTACTATATATAAAAGAAATATTAGTACTGTAGCTCTAAATACATGTAGCAACCTATAAATAACATGTATGAATACTTTTGTCATGCACTGCTTTTACAGAAATCGAGTTGTTCTTCTTAATGCCGGTTTTTAATAAAATTGACTTTATAGCCCGTAAAAAAACGCAACATACATTACATAAAAAAACTTAGTACAGTAACTCTTAGTACTTGTAGCACTTCCTCAATAACGTGTATGATTACTTTTTTCATGCACTGTTAAAAAATAAAATTGTTCTTATAGCCCACAAAAAATAGTTGTAAAATAAAAAGAAATTTATTAATCAGTCATAATGTTTGAGTAATAAGTATTTTATTATTTTATTCAATATTTTATATAAATAAAATTTATGGTTAAATAAAACTATATGTCCTACAAAACAACATTAATGATAATGAAACCTTATTAAATATTTAGAACGCATCAATAACAAATAAATATATATAGCATATAAGTATACTCCTACGATTTACTTTATGGGAAAAATTAGGCTGAAAGTCCTAACTATATACTTAGTGTCTGGATAATCGTTAAATTTGTAGAAGAGATTAGACTGAAAGTTCTGAGTGTGTACTTGGTGTCTGGAAAATCATAAACTTTGTGGAAGAGATTAGGCTGTGAGATTAGGTCCTGAGTATGTACTTGGTGTCTGAAAAGGTCTCTAATCATAGCCATTTCTATGAAAACATATTTTAAATAAAAAAAAAATGTAGTGCGGTAACTGCAAATATATGAACCAACCCATAAGTAACGTGTTTAAAAACTTTTGTTATGCACTGTTTTAAATAAAACTAAATTTGTTGTTTTAAATAAAAATAAAACATTTAAAAATGTTTTAAACATTTAAAATAAAAAAAAATTATTTCACAGTAATAGTGTATTAATGATAAATAATAATATATAGCAAATAATTATTCTACGATTTAAAAAAAAATTATTGCGGTAACCTCAAGTACATGTAACAACCCTTAAGTAACATGTATGAATACTTTTGTCATACACTGTTTTTGCAAAAATCGATTTGTTGTTCTGTTTTAATGCCGGTTAATATTTTGTTTTTGTAGTCTATTTTTTAACGTTTATTGAGAGAATGAATTTATGAAAAGAACCTGATGTGGAGTTTATTGTTTTATATGAAATTTAATATTTACAACAATGCCAATTATTTTGCAACACCCAGACACACTCAGTATTAGAGTTTAATATTTCTATTAATTATCTATATTTTTTATCAGCAATAAAGATCAGAAAGAAATCAAGTTAACAACAAAAACAACAAAAATAAAAAAAATATTAAAATTGATTTTTCACAAACAATAGAAAAATTGTTTTTTTTTATTGTTTGGTTAAACGCACAAATGAGTTCAGTCAAAAACAAATAAACGTTGAATCGTTAAAAAATGCAACATAATACGCACAAATATTGCTGCATTTAATGAGAAACAAAAAAAATACGCATAAAATATTAAGAAATAAATAAATAAATAAATAAATAATAAGTAAATGAAAAAATATTGTAAGTGCACAACACACAAGAATTTTAAAGTGAAACATAATTAAAAGAAAACGTCGCTGCTGCTGTCGCCGTCGCCGCCGTCGCTGCTACTGCAATCTGTCACTGTTCCCCTTGCAACATGACTCTGTACATTGAGCTGTTCGGCCTATTCATGTTGCTGATGTTGCCGTTCCTGTACGAGACAAGCCACATATTCCGCTATTATTTCAAATTTTTGATATATTATGGCTTGGTGAGCCTCAATTCGGTGATTCTGCTCCCGGCGCTGCTGTGTCGACCGTGCAATGTCAGGAATTTGCTGTAAGTACAATTAATTTTTTAACATTATATTTAACATTTTGTAAATTAACAACAAAACAAAGAAAACGTTTATTTATCGCATTTCTAATTTGATTTTCATGACTGCTAATACTAGAACACACAATGCACTATAATGGAAAAATCGATAAACTATTTTGTGTTATTTTTTAAAAATTTTTCAAATAATTAAAATAATTTAACTTTTCCTTATTTTCGGTGTGTTTGTGACATTTTAATATTAAATGCATTTCGATAAATAATTGAAGTGATTTTTAGATGTCTCACCAATTAATATAAATTATATCTATTCTATGTTCTTTATACTTATGTTGTTATTGGAATCCGTTAGTTCTCTCATTGTTTTCTTCAAGAACTGTGAAATTCATCTGTGACTAGTGACTCTATGTTTAGTGTATTCAGTTATCAAATATTGAAAATAAATAAATCTCCGAGATACGAAGACGAAAATTCCATTGAATTGGCCACACACTACGAAAACCTATAGACGACATCGCAAATATGGCCATACAATACAATTCGCAAGGCAGTGGATGCAGAGAACGACCTAAAACTACTTGGAGGTGGTTTTGTTTTTTAGGATCTGTACTTTTATTTTGATCGTATTTTTTGTTCATCAGGAGTATTCCTAATATAAGGAATTCCTTATATCCTTGAACCTAAAAGACAAAACCAATTTTAAAATAGTTTCGACGTAACAACTCAAAAAAAAAATTTAAAACAAAATTATACATTGAGGCGTTCCACCTTAGATAAGAATAACTCGAACATCAGCAATAGAATTTACTACCGTATAAGCGAGATTAGAGAAATCGCTTCGCAAAGAAAACGATAGAAATTCAGACTATTAGACAGACAAACTGCTTTAAAGTCCTTAAGTTCAGTCCAAATTACATCTATGACAGTTTTTGACTGCTAAACATCTCTAAATAAAATGTCGACACAACTCAATATTTCTCTAATCTGTGTCTCCGGTCATAGGTATATAAACAGAAAGGGTGCTTCAGAACCTCACTCGGTACACTTAAGTAATTTGGGCATATCGTTAATGGAAATTGGTACTAAGTTCTTTTTGTGGTGAAATTTTTAACAAAAGATGGAAAGACTGAACGATATGCAGTCATCTATATGCAATCTGGTCACTTTCCACTAAAAGGAAATCCAATATTCTCATTAAGATGCCCCATAGAGGTATCAGTATTGTGGTAGGTTTACTAGAAGATTCAATCTCCCTTTCAGTCATACAGTTCAGTTCACTACGTACTAGAAAAACATGCTATGAGACTGGCGCTATCTTATTAAGACTTTTGTCGAAGTTGTGACTCTGCGAATGAGGAAAACACTGTATTACACCTCATGTGTGAGTATCCATTTTGGCTAAGAGACGGTTTAAAGTCTTTGGGGAAACTTTTCTTACCAACAAGACAAAGCTGTCATCCAACATAATTAGGAACTTTGCCATTATAGACCTGCCAGTTTTGTTCACTTTCACTAGAAGAGGGGAATGTCGCGCCTTTCAGCGTCGTGCGTACATTGAACTGTAGTCAGCGTTTCAACAATGCTAATTTGTGGTATTAAAACGGAACAATTATTTCAGTGTCATTCCAAGTTAACCTAAACTATGGATTTTGAGATCAGGTTAAGATTACAGGTATCCGAATAGCAGACAGACTTATGTGAAAATAGCTGCATTGCTTCTACACCGGGATCCATTCTGTAGCTCAAAAAGCCATAATTTCTTTTTATTTGTTCAGGAAGAAGAAAAATGGGGAAGGACATCTTGACACAATTTGTCATGGATATCACATTAGGAATATTTAACCTATATTAATACAAGAATTGTATAAAATCTTTATAAAGTGAATTTAAAAAAAAATATATAATAATAATTATATGAATTCTGACAAGACAATAGAGACTGATTAACAAAACTGGAAATTTATTGTAGTATAACTAGTAAGCTTTGTAGGAAAAAAAATTGAGATTGGAAACTTGTTCCACACTCATGCCTAAACGGAAGAGATAATATGGTTGATATCTTATATCATTTTGGTAGATTGGTAAATTAATTTGGTAAATTATGAGTTTTTGCTAATAGATTTTTTGAGTCTCTAATAAAGAAGTCATACTTCGAAACGTCGGCAATATGTTTATATAGAATTAGGAAAAAAAAAATCTTGGTAACTTATACCATTTGATGGAATCAGGTTTGATAAAGAAGCATAAAGAAGGTATCTTACATAGTTTAAAAGAATAAGACTCGGCACTATAAATTACTGTTTTCTATAAGTTCAAAAAGTCATTTAAAAAAAAAACTAAATTTCTTAAATCGCTGAATAATAAGAATAATAATGAATGGAATAAAAGTCGGTGAAGTAGATTCAATACTAATATATGTTTACAGTAAAAATCTTCCTTATGTTCACAAAGTTTGATATCTGTATGTCAATCCTGTCAATTTTTTTGGAAAGCACTCTATATTTTTTTGTTTGTTTTGTTTCTTCATTAAAGCATACATAAGGTCTATGGTATATTGGCATAAAGAGAAAATTTAAGGAGTTCAACATTAAGAAACTCTATTCTAGTCAGTGTTATTAGACTACAGTGAGAGTCACCAGCTCCTATAGCAAGCGACGGTTACTTACTCGTGTATTAGACAGAAGTTTAAATGACAATTAGTTAAGATCGTATGAAACATATCGCTTCAATAGCAGATTTATTACCAATTCATTTTAGTTTGCCATTCGAGAAAAGAAATAAGTTTTGATCGAAGTATCCGTCTTTCAATATACATATGAAACCCATAGATTTGCCAGTTAAAATCCTTTTGATAAGCTATGTTGTTCAAATATTCTATAACCAACAAAAAAATCCAATAATCGCATCATTTTGCCTACAAATAGCTTCTTATCTCTTTATTGACTGTTTTATTACAATCAGCCTTATCTGCTGACGCCTACTACTTTTTATAATCTCTGAATAATTTTTGTTTTCTAACAGTAGTAACTTTATATCGTGAAATACAGTAAAGACTAAATTAGTTGTGCTGTAAGAAACAATCTGATACGTCCTATCTTATGGAAAACCATGCATTAGATTATGCATATTAATTAAAAAAAAATAACCCCCTTTGTTTCTTGACGAAGCATAGGAAAAATCTTATATCAGTTGATACAATCATTGTGCAATTGCATTGCATTTCTTTGTATGCGAAGTATTTGGTAGTCGGATTGAACTTGTGTTGTTTGTGTTATTATGTTGTTTTGCGTTGTGTATACTCTTTCATGACTAATCTTTTTTTTTTGCGTTGTACTGTTTATATATTCTATATTCGTTATGTCAGGCTTAAAGAAGGACAATGGCACAACAAGAAAATACATTGTAAAATCGGTTTCAGTTATATTTTAATGTAATTTATCGTTTTACTATATTGAAATATTCACTTTATTAAGTTATTACAAAATGGACTACATTAATAGAATATAGTGCAATTACGAAACTGTCCGACCTTTGTATGTATGTATATTACAGTTGGTCAAATCATAACTTAACTTTATAATTGTTATTTATGGCAAAAGTATCTCTTGAACTTTCTAGAAAAAGATAGGTTTATTAGATAACATAATATATGGTACAAATGTATTTCTCCTCTATAAAAAAGTTCTAGTGACGCTACTGCATGTTAACAGTTTATACTTTTATTTGTTTTTAAACAAAATATTTTTCGTAAGAATCTCTCAGTTTTGCTAAGCGTTATAAAAATATGAAATACTCGTAACAAATTTAATTTTTTTTAATTATCAAATGAGTTGATGTTGACCTATAATGCGATGTCTTTGTTTATTAAATATTTGTATAATATTTGTTTATACAGACGATCGCAGTTGCCGACTTCACTTTGTCCCAATAAAAACAACAATTGCATCAGTGATGTAAACATTTTTATAGAGCATATAGAGAAAAACTTATAGATCTATGAATTTTAAGAATTTATAAAGTTAGGGATATTACGATGAACAATTAGGAAACTGAAAATAAAGCTAAGGTTAATGCTCTGAAATATAAGTCTTTGTTTAAACAACGTTTTAATTTTCAAAGAATTCGAAGATAATATTACTTATTGAAGGTTAAGGAAGCAATAAATGCAGAACTTAACATTTTCAATTTTATTCAAAAAGAATAAGAACAATACATCTTTATATTCTTAAAGATGGAAATTGAAATTCTCTTTCATCATTAGACAATAATATGAGGTGTGAATGTAAATAAAATAAACAAACATAATTTATTTTTAGAATGGTTTTTAAATAATAGTAAATTAGAACAACAAATTTTTTTAAACTAATTAATTAAACTGTTGTGAGTATTGCCACCTACTCTCTGCTGCCTGGAAATATTCTTTAGTATTATAAGTCTATATATAATAGTTTGAGGCCGTATGCTCCACTAGGAGAGAAGGACAATCTTAATGTCTTAATGTTATTTAACGTACTATTCTATGCTATAATGGCCAAATATTACGGTGTTCAAAAACACGTTCCATTGGAATTTCATAAGAAATTTCCGCCTCTGCTACTCTTAGGGTCGTAGCACCCGGTGGTGAAACATAACTTCACGTCGAATAAATGATGCATTCTTCCCGCGTAAGTTTGGGTATCAACCACAGCCACTACGAGTCCAACCACAAGTGATCAGCAAGTGCCGTGTCACTTACTACCATGTACAATGTCGGGGTGACGCCGGGACTCTAGTTGCCTTTTACGACAGGTATGGTATGTCTTACCTCGGGAATATTCTAACTCCTTTACCGCAGGGGGGAGAAGAGAAGGACATCAGTAAGTAAATAATATATAATTGTTAAACTAAAAGTAGCAAAATTACAACTTTGAAAAAAAAAACACGTTAACTCATTTACTAAAGTAAATAAGTTATCTTTGTCAGAGGTAGTATTAATATATGTAGATTAGATTTAATTAATTATT